CAAAAATGCTTATTCTTTGACTCGCCTTTGATCGATTTTCCGCGGCTTAAGTCGCGCTGGAAACTTGCTCCATGCGTTCCTTCAAGACTCCTCCGCAAAGTTCAAATCTCCGGCATCTCTTTAACCGCATGTTTACCCATTAGCGTTTTTCGGGCTGGCAGCTTAAAATGTTTACCCGGCTCGCCGACGAAGACGTTGATGGTTTGCGAGGTGAGGGGAGCCTCAGGGAGAGGTATCCCAAGGTATACAATCGTCTTTTTTTTTGGCACTTTTGTTTGCTTTCGAATTATTTCGTTTTTGGCGAATGTTAAATACGCAATGCGTAAGTAAGGTAGTCGGGAGTGGTGAGAGGGGTGTGGCAGACATTTGAAAGCTAGGTGGCGCCATCATAAATTCATTGAAATTCCCATTTAATGGAGATTAATATGAGCAGCGTCGTCGTCCCCGAGGCGCCTCTTTTTGAATGCCCCTCGCAGCCACAGCCAACCCCTCTCGCCCAAATCGATAGCGATTTATTGACTTTGCTAAATGTTTTTGAAAAACTTTTGATATTTGCTTAGTTTTCATTTTATTGTTATTTGCCATTTGTCTATGGCCAAGCGGCTAATTAAGAACGTGGGAATATCTAAGGGCAATGGTGGCCTTTCGGGGGCTACGTGACATTTTGGGGATGAGTAGAGTGATTGCCGAATGATTGGGGATTTTTGTATTCGAGGATTAGTACTAACGATTTTGACTAACGATATGAATTACTCACTTTTCCGCGAATTAACTACTCCTTTATTAACCGGAAAGCTAACGTTTATATGGGATATAATTATTTATTTATATATGATATTTTAAATAGATTATATAAAAGGGAATTGAGAAAGATCGTAGCAAATACTGAGAGTTTGTCTGCAGAGTCTATCTAAATAGATGGTTGGGAATTATAAAGTAGATAGTTGGGTTATACCTACTTTATAATTCCCAACCATCTATTTAGAAAGACAAGCTCGCAGTATTTGTTACAAAAATAATTTAAATCAAGTCGGTGAGATTTAGAACTAACTATTTAAACTAGCTATTTCGTTCAAGAATTCCAGTTCAATCCGAAATTTCCACCAGACGGTCTCAAGTTTTGCATCCTATTGCTCCAATCACACCTCTCCAGATTAACCGAACCCTTCTGACGCATTTGAATACAATTTACAATTGGCAGGCGGGTTCGGTTGGGTTTAAATGATTTACAACCCCCGTGGAGAAAGAACCTTTGCCCGCTTGAGCTGTCATCTGGTCGGGAACTGTTTTTCTGATTACCACAAATCAACCAGAACAAATAAAACGATTAGGGAAGGGTGAAAGAGTCGAAAGAACAATGGGTAAGAAAGAAACTTTGATATATTTTCAAACGTTTATGGGCGAATCAATCAATTTCAATGCAATTTCAATTAGGCCAAGATAAGCGCTAAGGAGGCGGCCAATCCAATCAAATGGGGCGATGGTCGCTATCAGGCCGAGTGTGTGTGTGTTCAATAAACAATTTTAATATTTTTTAATTATGAAAACAAGTTGATTATATAAATTAAATCGCTGCCCCGTCGACGATTAGATTACGACACTTCTTTCGAACTTAAAATTCTTAACTTTTCGAGTGATGTGACGACCATTTAAGCGGCTTTAAACAAATTTCTATAATTCTTCCATCTTCATAAATATCAGGGGTTCGAAGAGGTGAGGCCGCGTCTACTGATATGGGATTTTGAATTAATTGAAAATTGATTATTAGCGATATATGAGCTCGCAGATAAGAAAGTCCGAAATTGAAGGCAGCTGAGATAAGCGATTCCTTTCATTTCTTTCTCTCTTTCATAATTGAAAATTAATCCATCATAATAGACGTCAGCGCAGAAATTAAAACTGATGTTTGAAGGGTCTTTCAAGCCCTAAAGAAATTAACCGATGAAAGAGAACAAATAAAATATGAAGTGATAAGCGGAGATAGTAAATTATGTGGCGGCAAACAAGACCAAGAAAAAAAGGTAAAGCAAATAGGCCGAAAACGGAAAAATATTTTATAAATACAAATGAATTGATATCATAAGCAGGATATAAGGACAGAAAGCAGAGGAGCCATCATTATCTGGCAATTGAATGCACTTATGCAAACAATTACAAACAGCCAGGCAAATAGGACTGCCGTGTATCTGTATCTGCGGCCGAGTATCTGATCAAATAAGGAGTACAAATCAAAATGCGATTTTCGTGCGTCCTTCTTATCGGAAAGTGCACGTTTACCTTTCGCTTCCAATCGTCTGGCGCTTCATCGCACTAACATATAGTAAGGCATTTGTATATACATATATATCAGGAAGTACTCCCGTCAGAGGTTAAAAAACTGCGATGTCGCAACGGCAGCTAAATGTATCTCAACTGTGTGCAAACAGAACCACACATTCCACTCACCTCGACTTGGTTGGGTTTCGGTTTTGGCTTTGGCTTGGGTTTTGGGTCTGGCCCGGCTTGGAAATTTGTTTGCGCTGTGGCTAATGAGGCAGTCCAATGCAGATACAGAAGCTATATATAAACACCGATATAGATATCGCACTCCGCGTATTCATGTTGCTTTAAGATTGCGTGATTCTTCAGATAAACTTGAGCTTCAATCGTTCGTACTCACCTTTTTGTGTATGTTGTATTTAGCTCGGAAAATTGTATTGAACGTTCTTAAATTTCCCTCAACCTCAACATTTCATTTATGAGATAATTTACAAATTTCTATTTTATAACAAAAAATTTTTAAATAAAATGCTATCAAGAAAATACAGTTTCAAATGTCATCATTGTAAGCCATTAAAAAATCAGTAAAAATTATTTGAATTGCATAGTTTACCAACAAAAATACTATCACATGTTAGTCATAAGTTCTTTCAATTTCAGCCCCACAATCAACTTAATTTATAACAACCGAAAATCATTTATTATTAACAAAGTCTCTTTAGCTTAAGCGCCAATCTTTGCCGAGCGGAAACAAAATAGTTGGAGTCCATGGTATAATCAAAATAATAATTTGCAATCGTTCAGCAAACCATTTCCTTTCTAAACCACACTCCAAGGATTATCTGGCCCAGTATTATCTCATTAATGATTCCCATAATTCTTACGTTTTATATATACCAATTAAAAATAATAAAGAAATATGAGGAAGGGAAAAACAGAATTGAGTTTATCAGTTTTTAATAAGTTTGCTCCGTTGGCGAGCCAATAACAAAAGCAAATCAATTCGCGCACTTAATGAAAAAACACAACTCAATTATAAACTTTATCAGCGGTATTTGGGGCGGAGTTGGGGGCGGGGTTTTCCCTGGATCCACATACATTTAAAAGTTATTTTGTCAATGCTGGAAATCAATTAAATTTTTGTGTCAATAATGAAATTTACTTAATTATCGCCATATTATTAAATATTTATTTCATTTCGTTCTTCTTTTCGTCTGTGTACTTTAGTTGATTTATAATGCAAACTTTAAAGAGCCAGATTTTCTTGTTTGTTAAATTAATACAAGCTTACAATATATATATTTTTAAAGAGCAGAAGTATTTTTTTGTCTTGACTTACAATTATCATATAAATGGCTTAGATGGAAAATAAATCTGATGGTTTATGACTGTAAACCCCTATCAATCTGAGTTACAGAAAACTATTTATTAAAATCCTTTGGATAGCGATAATATGTGTTACGCCATTAAGAAATCGTAAGTTAATAATCAAGGAAAAAAACATTATAATTGACCTAATTTTAAAGTGTGGCAACCATTTAGTAATCATTAGGGTCAGTCAATGGTGAGCCACCTCAGTTTGCTGAAGACATTGCACAGAAAATAAGAAGAAACAGAGGAAACCAAGAGCTTTAGGTGGGTGGAAAAAAAATGCAAACAATAATAAATGCCAAAGTGCAGTAATAATTTGCATGCACACATATAGTGAACTCTCTGTGCCCACAACTCTGTCAACATAATGAGCCAATCGAATGGCTGGCACTTTGTAGATTCAACTCAACGAAGTATCCGTATCTGTGTATCTTTGTAGCTGCTGTAATGTAAAAATTATTTATTGATAACGCAATTTAATGCCAATTATTTGCACATCAATATTTGCTCAATTATCAATTGCAATTCAGTTGGGTGTGGTTGGGGTTTTGTGATTAATGAACAGATGGAATGGTGAAGGGAGGTGGTTGGTTTCAAATTTTGATTTGTGGTTATTGTTTTAAAATGTTTTGTAAAGTCTTTTACAATTTGTTGTCCCTTTTTTATTAGGTATGTTTGGACAGAGCACAAGTGTCAAAGTCAACTCAATCAATCCTCCCTTCATCCCTTTTTTGCCAACCTTGCAAGTTTTGTTTACTTAGCTAACTAAGGCACTGAAAATCTGTTGAAATTTTCTGGCATTATTGTTCACTTATCGGGTGAATTAACACGACAAAAAGGGAGAAAAGGCAGGTTCAGGAATAGGATTACCCGTCTCTTTCTGCCCCTGTTCACCCCTCTCTTTCGGATTTATATGCTGACCGCATCAGCTAAATTGCAGCAGCATATGTGACGATTTATTTTTATTGGTGATTTCGATTTCTGATATTTGCTGGAAAATTTAATGCCTGATTAGCCTAATATGCTTGAAATTTCATCAATGATCAAAACATTTATGGGGGTGCAACGGCAATCGAAGAATGTCATTTTTGATTTTGAAAAAGGGTTTTGTAATTTGATTTCCCTTTGAACCCCACAAAAAAGAGAACATAAATTGTGGACTGTTCCCATGTCATTTTTACCCCTCTTACGATTCAAGTTTTGATAATTTAATTTATTTTCAGAATTATGACATTCATACGCAGAAAAATCTATTTATTTTAAGCTATTTATTAAATTGATCTAACCTCTTGTTATATTGCCTTGTGATTAAGAAAAATAAAGAAACCGGATGATTGTATAGTACCTTAAATATGTTGATTTGTTAATTAAAATATTGATTACAAAAATAGTAAAGTGTATAATGCCAGCAGTATCAGAATGGAACCCCGGCTTTTAGGTCTTATTGCGCTGTCTTCTAAGCCAAGAAACCAATTGCCACATGGACACGTCTTATTTTCCATAACTGACGACCAAATTGCCCTAGTGCACCTGTGACAACGACCATTCTCGTACTCTACTCTCTTGATTTTTTGACATCCCAATTCTGGCGACCAAAAACAGCAATAACCAATTATTGGCTCTAAGAATGTGGAAATTGTTAATACCGCCTTTTTTTTTGATTCCTAGCCAAACTACTCACTCTCTTTTATAAAACCCATACCCGGAGGCATGCATGTTTTTAGCGAAGATGGTATTTGGGACGAATTTAAATTGGGATCCAACTTTTTGGCATCAATTTCGAATTCGCAACTCCATCCGGTTGTCTGAATTTTGCATTCCTGGTTTACACTTGAACAATTCGCACATCGCATTTGGTCATAAAAACAGTGTGCAGTGCTGCTAAATGCGGCTAAAAGCCAAACAATTTTAATCATTTTTTGAAGGGATTTTGAAATTAGTTGAAACTTGTTCAGGAACTACTGGGATCTGGTTATAAGTCAGGATTTCTATCAGTAATCCGTTTTTATTGGGTATTTTTAAAATTAACTAGCAATATCTGCGGCTGTTCACAATTGTTCACATGCATTTATATTGTGTAATTGAAACCTTCTTAATAGCTATCTTAATCCATTTTTTAAGAGGAAAAGGGAATAAGTCTGTTTTTATGGTTCTGAAGTAACTCAGCTTAAATTTACCTAATCATGGAATCAATAATTTACCTTAAATGGTTGGCAAACTATATAATTCATATTCATATTTTCTTGTGTGCAAAACAACCTTTTGCTTCCTAGCACGAACACTTCTGTAGAATAATAAGTCCTTAAATTATTTGAACCCCTAAAAACAGCTCGTACCAAATTTTAACTCTAATTGCATATTTACGTAACCATTTCCCCAAAATCAAAACGAAATCATGCAAACAAAGCTAACAGCAAACACAATGTGAGCTAAAACCGAAACCCAATCCGTTCCAAAATCCCCATACTCTCAAACCATCCAAAGCCTCCTAATAATACCTTCTCTTTTTCCCCATATCCATACGACCCTCTATATGTTTGTGTTGTTATATAAAATAAACTATTCTGGAACAACACAAATCATACACATGCAGAACAAACGGAGGATGGACGATTGCCAGGTCATGTTCTGAACCCCACCAGCACCACCCATAAACGTTATATAAATGCACGTGGATGAGTAGATAAATATCGTATAATGAAAATAAAATAAGAACCAGATAGAAAATTTGGGGCGAGGGGCGAAAGAAACAACAGCAATCAGTCGTCATTGCAGACATCGCACTAATTTTGAGTTAGTTTTTGGGGAAACATTTTCGACTTGAGCATGGGTTTCGGGAAAATCTGGAGTGAGTCGGGTTGAATTTTTGTACGTGGTCAAAGAAAATACACTTTAGCACGTTTCTTGTTAGCGAACAGTTTGCCTCATCCCCTCGGTTCCTTAACTCTTTTCCTGTCTGGACATTGCATTATATATTTTATTTTTTTTAACGTTCTGGGTTTTGGAGTTCTTCACTTTCTTGTCGTTGTGCGAGTTGCTTGGGTCTCTGTTTGCTTTGGCAATAGCATACCGTTTAAAATTAGGAAAAAGTAACTTTTAACAGAGGTACAAGGGTATATTTTTAAAGCACACAAATAAAAAACTAATGCGGAAAATATGACTTTAATGATAAAGGTTTAACATTAACTTGATATTTAATGAGGTAACTAAGATTGCTCCCATAGATTATACAAATTTTAAATACAATGCATGTATTTCTTTTAATTTTTTTGTTACTTAAGAAATGCACGTCGAAATATTTTAGGGTGTTATATGCAGGACAACGCTAAGATATATATATCTCCATGATCCTAAAAATAGCTAAGATAGAATTTGTCATATTATTAAAAAAGTTTAATTAATATATTTCTCTAGTTTCCATTTAATTTGTTGTCCTTTGCTTCCGATTTCAATCCATTTACAACTCCTTGGCTTCCTAACTCTGACCCACTTGGCAGCCATTTATGTCCACTTAGTAATCCATCAAGGGAACATTAAAATCGTCTCATCTGGCTGAGTGTGGGTCGTAAAGAAAATGCATTATACGAGCATTACCGCGGTAGCGCCAAACAGCCAACCAAGTTATAAAAGGCCAATGAAACGAGACGTTTATTGTTATCGGGATTATTGATTTCGTGTGGGACTTAAAGCTTCAACTTCAGACGGAAGTCAAGTGCCTTAATTGCTTGCCTAATCATCTGCCAGACTTCCTATAACCTATAGCCCCAAACCCAATCCCAATCCCGCTGTCCCTTCAGGACCCATTAAGTTCCATCCCCCCCTCCCTTACTCGAGTTGATTATGAAGATTCTTTCGTCTTTTGCCGTTGAACTTGTTAGTTGCTCAACACTCCATAATGATGGCAATTATAGCCTCGTTTTTCCAACAATTTATATGAAATTTCATGCTCCCAAACTCTCCTGCCCTCTCATTTAGCCAGGCCACGCCCTCTATTGGACATTTTAGGCCATTTGGCCACGCCCCATGCTGTGAGGCTGTCTCTGTTTCGCCTTAGGGGTTACCACCAGATACTCCATCTTGAAAGCGGGCTGCCAGAGAGCGAGAGAGGGAGAGACAGAGAGAGAGCGGTACTGATTGTTCCGGTGGTGCTTTATACTGGTATTGCCCCGTATCGCGTATATGATACCACGTTTCGCTTCCAACAGCGCACAGTCGTTAATGAGCGTTCGTCGAGTTCGCTTCGTAGATTAAAAACCCAACGAAACTCGCGTGCGTACGCGTTCGAAATAGACGTTTTCGAAACGTGTTTGAAAAGTGTGTTTTTGAAAATTTAAATAATATCTGTATATCAGAGAGTAAAAGAAAACTTTGGTGACCCCAGTGAAGCATGTCCAGTGCCCAAGTGTCGCAACAGCCGCCGCCGCCGCCGCTGACCGCCAACAGTAACAGCAGTAACTCAATGCCGTCGCAACTGCTGCTGAGCCACATTCAGCACCACAGCACCAGTCTGAGCCACCAGCGGAGCACCGGCAGCCACCAGAGATCCTCGCCAGCAGCCCAGGACTACGATCAGGGCAGCAATCACTCCACACTATCGCCCCGATCCCAGATAACTGCCAGTCCGCCGGCAGCAAGTCCCACCCACTCGGCGGCCACCACAGGATCACCGCTTAGTGCCTACGCTCCGGGATTGAGTCCAGGTGCTGGTGGTGCTGGAGTCCAGGATAACAGCCAAACGGATAGTAGTCAGAATCCCCAGATGCCCCTGCTAGTGGCTCCCTTGCCAGTGGGTGCTGGTCATCCAGGACCACCGCATCCAAGGCTATATGTTGAGGGTTTCCCGCCACCACATCATGTGCCCCATCCCCATCCCGCTCTGGGCGCCTATTCCCTGCCACGTCTTCCACTGATGATGCCGGGCAGTGCACCTGCATCTGCACCACCTGGCGCAGGAGCTGCTCCGCCCGTGTCGCCACAACCCGCTGGGAATCACCTGAGCCACAGTGGAGCCACCATGGCCACAACCACGCTCCTGCCACCCGCCCAAAGTCAGCCCAAGAAATCCTTCTGCATAGACGCTCTGTTGGCCAAAAGTCAGCACCACAGCCAGGGTGAGCCGCAGCCCATAATTGTGGACGACCGACTGGCGGCACTGCACTATGCCCGGGATCAGGCGGAACTCAACCACGCCTTCGTGACCGCCTCCAATGCGGCGGCCGCTGCTCAGGCCGCTGCCTCCGCCGCCGGCGGAATCAGCGAGCAGGAAGCACTGCAGCGCATCCGGGAGTCCAGGGAGTACGACTCACCCAGTCCCGACGGCATGTCAAGGTGAGTTCAGAGATTTCGAAAAGTAGAGGCTCGGAAAATAAACCAGAATGAAGTATCTGTTGGGTGGAAGTTAGCTTGTTCTGAAATATATATAATATATTGCAAATAGTTAAATATATATAGGGTAATCATTTTTTAAACCTTAAATAATTCAATAACACATTCATAAATCAATAATAATTATTGACAATAGAAAGTAAAAGTAATTGCAAAATCATTTATTTAAGTAAAATCTTTATATTTTTAAGTATATGCAATAAATGAGATAATTGTCTAGTTATAATTATATTGTTTACTTGTATCATTTACTTATACATGGACAAAAAATGTGTTCTGTAAGCTGTTTAAAAGAAAAGCCGTTTAATAATTAATTTAATTATTTATATATAGGGTCATACAATTTTAACACATTCAAATGCCAATTCTAAAACTTACAACCTATCAAAATGCAATTGATCAGCAAAGAAATAATCAAAAACTTATTGCTAAACGTGAAATCGGAAAAAAAGGAATATAGCTAAAATAAATAAATAAAATTTCTATATTCATTTTTTCTTACCCCTTCTGGCTTTTTAATTAGTCATTTCTTTAAATAGTTATCAATAGCATTTATAACGAGATATAAAGTTAAATTATGGCTATAATCTATTAAGAACAATGGTTAAAGCCTTTAAAAATACTTTCCACAAATTCAATTAAATATATGGCAGCCATTTCGCATTTGCATTAGTTATTTCCCAATTCCCAGAATTTAAAAACGATTCCGTATACAAATGCAGCTCTTAGTAAAAAGCCCACAACTTATTGTGGTAATCCTTTGGCTGGCTACCAAACAAAACCGTGGCACTTGGCGAAAACCATTCTGAAAGCCAAAGCGAAGCCCAATGAAGCCCCAAAGCAGCTTTGCTGGCACTCGAAAACATGGCAAGCCAAAAGCCTTCAATTGGTCAATTCCAATTCCAGTTTGGTCATCAGCCACAGAGATTACGTATACGCCATGTGTCTGCCGTCACAAGTGTGTGAGTGGCTAATTTCAAGTGCGAATTGTGTACGAAAGCAAACAAATTAGACAAAGAGAGGGTGGCGGTAATATTAATTGTTTTCAAAATGTGTCGCGTAATTTCGATTGTCATCGATCGGTTAGATAATTCACTATAGAGGGTGTCTTATAAAATCGTTTTCTTTCATATATTTTTTACAGATCCGAGTCGCCCAGTTCGTCACATCGCTCCAGTCCGCCCATCAGTCCCGGTTGTGAAGATCAGCAGAATCATGGCGGCATCGGCATGCATCCCCAGCACCTGTCCATGCGCATGTCCGACTTCCATGACGAGTTCAAGAAGCCCATTCCGCCGCACAGTCCCATCAGACCCCAGGATTTTCCACTCTACGCTGGCGGACACCCATACCAACTGCTGGCGCAGGGTGGATCCGCTTTCCACAGACCTCTGGATCCTTCCGGCAAACCCATTCCGGTAAGTTCAATTACCAATACATTGTATACTAAAATCAATTTTGGCTTTAATTAAATTACTGCAAACCTTCTCTAATTTTTGAAATCTTGATATAATGATTTATGATTTATAAAAAGAGCTTGATAGCTTACAAAAAGTCTATAATCAACTAATTTAGGACAAGTAAATTTCAAAACTTTCTTTTTAAATACTTTATTAAATGTAAAATATTAAATTTATAATTTAGTATTTCATCAACTCTTCAGAAATGTTTCATCTTGAACATGAGGTATTCCAATAAAAACTTAAATTAAATACATTACAAATTCCTTGATGAATTTTTATGGAATTTATTTATGAGCTAACTTTTTTTACCTTTATTTGGAAATATTTTCTGATGATTTTAACAAATTCAAAAAGATATATTTTAAGCAATATTTTCCTGACTGCAAGTTAATAATCATATGTATCTTGTTCTTTTCTCCAGATACCCATGGGTCACAACTTCATGCCCTCACAGCTGCAATTCGAGTTCCTGGCCCGCGCTGGAATGCTGCACCATCGGATCCCCGAACTGGCCGCCTATCCCCATCATGCGATTCTGGGCAAGACCCGAAGACCCCGCACCGCCTTCACGTCCCAGCAACTCCTGGAATTGGAGAAGCAGTTCAAGCAGAATAAATATCTGAGCCGGCCCAAGCGATTCGAGGTGGCCAGCGGACTGATGTTGTCCGAAACGCAGGTGAAGATCTGGTTCCAGAACCGCCGGATGAAGTGGAAGCGGTCCAAGAAGGCCCAGCAGGAGGCCAAGGAGAGGGCAAAGGCCAACCAACAGCAGCAGCAGCAGCAGCAGACCCCCAGTGCAGCCAGTTAGGAGTAGGATTAAGGAGGAGCATCTGGAGGATCTGGAGGAGTCTCCAATCTAGTCATGCCGCGATCAAACCGCCGTCCCACCATCAAAACGAGACACCCTGTTTTTCGCACCCCAGTTTCATTTGCGCAATCGGTTGAAATCTTTTTCCGTTTTTTTCGCTTCGATTTCGTTTTGTTATTTTTATTTGGTGCCACAACAACTGGGCACTGTGTGATATATGTAAACAAGAAATATAAATTAAATTCATTAGCCCCTGTATGTACATAAACATAAATCTAAATAGAAACACGCAGATAAATAAAAATATAAATATAAAACTAAACTAGATGAATAATGCTTAAGTAAATAAATTACATTAAATGCTATTAGTTAAGTTGGTAATTTTTATTTTGCTTCTGTAATTTGTGTAAATAATTGTAATTATGTAATTGTAGTATTTAACAAAAACTACAACAACTATTGAGTAAAAACAACTACAAACATTTTAATTATCGCATTGCGATTTAATTAGTTAATTGTATGGATTTTATTTTCAAAATCTAAGATGTATAAAATAAATCACGAAAAACATGAATTGAATAGTGTACCATAAAAAGGAGGGCAAACGAAATTATTGAATTTGGGGCAACAAAACACGAATAAAAAATTAAACAGGTAAGATGTTTTGAAATATAGAAATGAACAAAAATGAACGGATATTAAATTTCCAGAGATTTGGTGCTCTAAACAAAACAAATTCAATCAAATTTTCAAAGAAAACTAAAACCATAAACTAATTAACGGAAAGGTTAAGAAATTATTATGATTACCAAAAAATGTATTTATCACTAGCCAGCGAAAATCAGCCAAATAGTAACATATTATAATATATTTTCATGTGAATATCTTATCTGGCTGGCTTTGAGAGCTGTCTGTGGTCTCGAATTTATAAATACACGACAGTCATAAAGAAAGAGCTATTAGCCACATATAGTTATACTTCCCAATCAATATTCTACTCAAAATTCTACCCTTGCGATAAAGCTTATCGTTGCAAATAAATCAAAATGTGTGCAGATAATCGAGTTAATTGCTGAGACAATAATTATGACTAAATTTATAGTATCACTTTAAAATTATTTCGCTAATTAAAATGTAGCCAACTTAAAACGAACAACGAAAGCACTTCTAGTCTCTTTTGGTTGTTGATTTCGATTTAGTTTTGTTTTGGTATGCGTGTCTGGCAAATTGAAAAAATCATGGTGAGCCTCAATTTCCGCCATATAAAGTATTATCAAGAGGTACAAAAACAGTTTGGAGCATTCCAAGTTTTTGATAACCACTTGAACTGAGTTCAACTCGGATTACCTGTGGGAATCTTCCTATGCAGGTGCATCTTATCTTATTAAATTTTTCTGTTACTGGTGGAAAACTTATTGTTTAATTCTGATTTACTTTTTAGATTACGGGTTTGGCATCATCTAATGTAAAAGTCTAATCTTTCAGGCAAACTTAATTGCCTAAAATAATATGAATTAAAAATAATATAATGAAAGCATAAATTATGTATTATTCTAGCACAATCTTTAATTTGCAGTCATCATACAATTTTGAAATACTCTGTTACAGCTAATTTAAAATGTCATTTCATTCATTACATTACAATTAGATACGAAAGACCTTTATAATTCCCTCCTTTCGGAGGAGATGACATTAAGTGTGAACTCATTTGGAATCGCTCTGTTCTAACCACTTTCCATTCCATTTTCCTATCCCAAGCCCATTTCCATTCTTCTGAAGAGAACTCGTCCGTCCACTTTATCACGTAATTCTGAAGTATTTCATAGACGAGCACACGGACGGACTTTACGGGTTTTATCGTTGCTTTTGGTTTGCCTTGAAGTATGCTTTATATTGTTATTATTGGCTGTTTGATCTGTTGCTGTTGTTGCTGTTATTGTTGTTATTATGCAGCAGTTTCTTGTTGTCTGATGGGCTAATAAAAATTCATTTCGCTCTTTCGGTGGCCTCTATCACGTAGCCCATTCTTGTCTATATAAATGAAAGAAGCATATATTTTTGTAAGGAGGATATGTGGTACAGTGGTTTGAAAGACTTAATTTAATTATTCATAATATTACAACATTAAAAAACCACCAGTTACAGCTGTATTCTTCAGTAAAATTTAAATTCTTAAAACATTTAAAAATAAAATTATATTATTATATACTAAATTTTATTACAAAAGCATTGATTACTAAAATTCGACAAATAGCGTTAAAACATTATATAATATTAAGGAAAAATACATTTCTAAAAAAACATTTTACTTTTTAAAATGTTTCGACTCGCTTTTGGTTCTTAAAAATTGTTACAGTTTTTGAATGTAATTTGTCTGCGTAATAAACATACCTTTTAATTTCCGAGTTCAATTCATTATCTCACTCTCTGAACCCTGGGAACCTTTTTTTCCTGAACTTAACCCACTGTGCATCCTGGGCTGCGGTTGCTGATGCTGCGCTTTATTTTGATTTGCCTTAAAGTGGCCAAATGTGTTGAACCAGAACACAATGCAAAGGGGAAAGGGAATGATTTCTCCCTAATTTCAATTCATTGAGCTATTAGCGGGTAATTTGCAGCAGGAGAATTTCAATGAAAACCCGGCGAGACCATAAAAGGGTGACAAAGATCAAACCGTAGAACTGGAATTGGGCTCGGGTTGGATGGCCCTGGATGCTGTTTGGTCCTTCGGGATGCCTGCCTGCTGCTGATTGTCGCATCTGTTGCAAATTAAATTTGAGTTATAATTTCTATAAACACACAAGCGTTGAGTTGAGGAAGGCACACACCCATAAAATCGCCGATTGAATTGAGGGTTCACTTCCCAGTTCGTCGGCAATTCTTCCTTCCCCGCCTGACTTTGTTGCCATTGTTGCTGGTGTTACAATTTGGTTATCCCCTGTTGGGCAACGTCATCAGCTGCACTGAGAGAAAAGAAATTTAGATGGCAAACACTTCACCTTTTTTTTTCTTTTAGTAAATCTACGAATATGTTCTATACTAGAACTTCTTTTTCTTATATTATTCACTATGAATTTTTGTATCTCAAGTAAAATATAAAATTTATTTTAAAAAAATAATCAAAATATGTCCTTAGACAAATGTTCGTTTTTTTATATTTACAAAATGTTAGATCAATTTGACAATTTTATAGATCTATATGTTTTTTATGTTGCAAGCAAGGTAACAACTTGAAAACTGTTTTAAAGCGATTCAAATTCAAGTTCCAGTCATCAGTATTTCTTCTAAAATCCTGGATTAAACATGATTTATCCTGGTTTCACAATGGTACATTTTCCTCAGTGTCGGACAACCCTCTTGGGTTGAATGGCATTTATAGTTCTAGTCCCGGGTCCCAATTTGATCTTCATGTCAACACAGATGATCACATTTTATGCTTAATTTTGTTATATGTGATGTTTGCTTTACTGATTTAGCGTACACCACCGCCCACCCCCGATTTATTCAACCCCTCTCATTTCTATTTTCGCATTCGGTGAGTTTTTGCGCTAATATTCAATCGAATTTTCCTCGATTTTCGATTTTATTGTCAAATATGTGCGATTATTGTCATATGTTGGATTTTATTATTGTCAAATTTGCATTTGTCTGGGGATCGTAGTCGGGGTGGGGGGTGCATAAGCGGTTATTGCTCGTTAGCCAGCTAGCTAATGGCTGTTTACTCTGTCAGCTGAGCGGGGAAATAAGAGGAAGGATACGAGGGTCAGGATACTGTGGTGTCCTATTGATTGGCTTCGATTGATATCACAATTGATGGGCGGCATTCCGTTTTTAATTGCTGCCGCGTTGGGCAAATCCTTTCTAATTGATGGGGGAAATGCATATGCGCACATTTAGGGACTTTAACTGATGGTTTTCTAAGCAAATATGGTAATTTTGAACTGATTGTTGTGAGTCTTCAATAAAACCGTATATATTTTAGGCTTCTTTTTCATTCTGAAAAGAATTTTTATATTCAGAGCATGTCATTTTGATTACTTTCTGTTTAGAGTTCGTTATTGTAAATATATTAAAATATTTTTTAATTTCATACAAAACAAAACTACTCAACTTATTATTTAATACCATATATTCGCATTTAGTTGATTTAATTTTTAAAAATTTCTGTTAAATAATGCCTAATAGGTCTGTATTAAAATACTTCATAAAAATAGTCTGCTTTAAAAAATATATATATTTTAATTGCCTTCTTGAAAATAAGATTATAATTCTTATGCAGACAGAAAACGTCTTCAGACTTTTTTTGGGAACTAACCATCATTTCAACCAAAACTTTTGTATTTTTAGAGCTAAGAAGTTAAATAATATAAAAACATTTTATTTGTTTTCATTTCATTTGTTTTTATCTTCTTTCGTGAACCTCAGCTCAATTCATATGATATACCAAAAGAGCACCTTCTTGAGATCCACTTGAAATATGAAGAGCATCTAAAATCCCTCGCTCTCAACCTGCAAAGTACTTTCTCCCCTCATTTCTCCGTTAAATTTGCTAATTAACTCAACATAAGGTTTTCTAATTTCATTTAACGCAGAGCAATAACAGCAACAGGGAGATATATTTGCGGAAACGGAGCCCGCAGTTGGTCCAAAAACCAGACGAGCAACCCTCTCTTGGCCACCCCTTAACCCATGGCAGCCCCAGCGCCCCTCTCCCCTCTCTCCACCCCCTCCGTTTTGGAAGTTGAGTCTGGCTTCAGTCGTTTGGTATCATTAGCCTCTGGGGATGATTTGTTGTTGTTTGGCAGCACTTGATCAACGCAGCAATGAATTCAATTAGCACCAAAACACCAAAAGAGCGTTGCAGGGGGTTAACGGGAGTGGGGGGGGCTATTTAGGGAGCGGGGGGAGTGGCACTTGCTGCAGGCAGAGGAAAATCCAAAGCCAGAGGCGTAGGAAAAGGACACACCCTCGCCATTAGAGAAGGGGAGGAAATGCGACGGAGTCTGGTCAATTGTTTGGATTATTTTTCTGGTGAATTATTGCGTGTTGACGCATATGGTGACAATTTTCCTTTACAAATCGTCCCATCTCGCTCTGAATTTTCCTATTCCCCCCTCTCATTTTCTCGACTAATGCCCCGAGCAATTAGCTTTGATAGAGGAATTGTTCTGGCTGACGCAAAAATTTCCTAACGATTAAATCGAAATCATTTTGGCACTGCCAGGACATTGACTTTTAGCAGGACTGTTCCGAATTTCAGTTTCGCCCGAAATTCGCCGAATTTAATTTCGTTTTATAAATGTTTTTCATTGGCCTTAAAAACTTTACGATTGTTTTGCCTTTAAAAAGTAATTAAATTTGTAATAACATACAATTTTTGTTTAATGTCTGACCTAATTTAAAGTCATAATAGTGATAATTAATTAAATCTAACATTATTATAAGATACAATTTTGGACGAATCAAGAATATAGATTTTAAATCACAGCATTTGGGCACCTTTAGTGTAACTGTGCCTTTTAAAATAAAGTAATGATTAAATTTGTATCATTGTTAAACTAAGTTTGTATAAAA